CTGACGTATTGGTTAACGACAACTATTGTTCACTAAACTAACAGTCGATTTTAATACACGTGAGATACTCTTGTGTGAATTCAACTATCATATTAAGGTATTGGCGAACGAAATTGTTGCGTGATCACTTCGATTGTTAGGCTATTCACTAAAACTATTTGGTCCCACCGACGTTTAGGATGTTTTTCTAGTAACAGTCTAGGCAATAATGAGGGCTTCCCTGATGTCAACACGTGTGAACATTTTCAATGGGTTTTGTTGAACTATGAGGTAATTTGGACGAATTATTAAAAATAGGAATGTTATTACATTTTCTGTATGCGCGTTGATGTCTTTAAGACGCTTCTTAGACCTGCGTAGTTATGAGTACACGCTACGTAACTGTGCGTAGAGGCTGCGTAGCTGTGCGCAGAGACTGCGTAGCGCTGCGGAGACAAATATCACAAACGTGGTAGAAGTTGCGCAGCAAACGATAAATTATCAATTTGTTGTTTCCAACATCGAATGGATATGAGATTGTAAAGCTGCATAAATCAATCTATACGAAGATGAAATAGCTTCGATAATTACATAAAACGTCTATAAATCCGTGTGAATTTTTTTAACAATAAAGCTTCGTGACTGTCTTCTCCTGCACACAGCGAATAAAGGTTTAATTGAAAACCTGAACTTGAGCAAACTTGATCTATTCGCGATTTCGTAATAAGAAATCGGCAATTTAAATTAATGTTCAGGTTTTTTGTTGATATCATTAATTTCTGTTAAGAAAAGTACATAGTAGCTCTTTTTCTTAATTGATTATTGATTTATTATGATTACATAATTTGAGCATGCATTCGGAATGTATCTTTTACCTAATTAACGCAGTTTATTTTATCAGTGAATCCTACTTCGTAATTTAGAGCCAAAATGTAATGAGAGCGAAGGAATTCTGCAGATTCTAGGTCTATGCGTATATCATTAAAATTAATTACGGCACAACATTGTGTAAAGGTTACGTTGGTTATTTTATTACGACAGGCGGTATGTTCCTCCATGAACCAAGCTCTTGAACTAGACAGTGTGCAATGCCAAGACCCATGTCAACCATGACATTTTTACCGTGTGTTATTTATTTATTCTATTTACAATATTTTTTTACCCTTTTTAACAAGCGAGTTTTTCGAGATTTTTGTTAATATATTTATTAATTTCGCCCAAAAAACTAATCTATAATATGCTTATGTGTAATACTAGTTTCCGCCCGCGGATTTGCACGCATTTTAAAAATAGCAGCGCTCAAAGCGAAATCTCGACTAAAATAGTGTGTGTGAAAGAATTTTGGATATCCGACCAGCTGTTCCAAAGATTACCCCCTACATACAAACTTACAACTAACAATTTACTTTTAAAATATTAGTATAGATTTTGTTTAACAACAGTGGTAAAATAGATACATTAAAATACTCAGGTGAAATAAATTAATTTATTCTCCTCTGGCTACTACAAACACATAACTCACTAAATTCATGTCAAAAACCTAAAAAGAAATGCTTTATTTCCCACAGAATCGCAGCTTTCTCTATTACGCGATACCATCGAGAATATCGAGATCCTCCAAATTCAATGTAAAGTAGCTCTCAGACAAACATACAAGAAGGTCAGAGTACATCATATTATTTCTTTGTACTACGAGCAATAACTTATGTAACCAATACGTAATTGAAATAATAATATCATCCAGCCAAGTACGTATTTAATTGCATTCGTTGAGTCACGTTGGTAGGGTCACCAATTTGGCTCCTTAATGGCGTCACGTTTATCTAGGTCAAATATTTGGATCGGTTGGGGTGTTTGTTGTTTCAAAGAAAACTTATTCAGAGTAGAAATAGTTTTTTTATTAATAATATTACTGTGTATTGTGTGAATATTCAAACGTTTAATTTTCTAAAAAAAATACCTGTTATTGCCCAATTGCAATGTCAGAAAATTTTTAGTCCATCAGTTCATTTAGCTTCATTTTGTTACACACTTAACTCTGACACCAAAGCTGTAAGTGTATGTTAGCAAGTAAGCGATTCACCTACATATCAGCTCTATTGACCTACTCAGTCTACACTAGTGTTTCCCGTGGCAGCGTTTTAAAACGACGTTTTTTTTTTTTTGACAAAAATATATTGGTGTTCGGTTTTAATCTATGCTTATTTTATTTAAAACTATTAAATTGTATAATGAGTTATATAAGATCGAAAATTAAATGGTTAATAGCACGTATTGTAGTGTGTACCTTTGTATTGCATACATAACAGTTACACCCTTACAAGCACTTAAATTATATAATAACATGATGCTACTTTTGAATTATAACATAGACCTAATTAATGTAACAGTGGTCACCATCCCGACGCGCGACGTTTCCAGTAACAATATTATCGGTCAGCTCGCGTCCGTGTTGCGTGCACGCATCTAAAAGCGTCTTGATAGCCGCACGCTTTCTCATTACGCGCCAAATGAATCTCAATCAGTTTGCGCACGAGTTTCGACACACGCACTACAAAGTGACAATTAGTTGTATGCTATGTGCTCGGGAATTAGATGCCACCATACATGGAGCGTGGTAATTACTTTTTGAATGAATGACTATTTGCATAGTTCGACAGGCGTTGATTGAATTTCACTAGTTTTTAAGTGATTTAAATGACATAACAGATACTTCTGTTTATTTGAAGAGTTGTTGTTGTAATTCGATCATGTCCAGTCGTGAGTTCGTGACCTGATGTGAATATGTAATGATTGTGAAGGTTTCTTGTATCTAAGGTCTGTTGTTCTTTAATGTTAAATTCTAGCCGGTGCCGATATTGTAAGCACCGTTCTTTATTGACCACAAATTCAACCACCATGTCTTTTTGTACCACACGCGAAACATTTTGCAATAAGATGAAATACAAACACAATAGTCCATTCATTTAGTCTTCTCGTCAAACTGTGACACCACTCGATCTCTCTTGAAGCTTGGACATGTGACCGATGACTCTTCCCTAAGGCAGACTTCTGTCAGATACTCGTTCTTTAGACATTTCACATTGACTTATTTTATACACAGAACAAATCATCATATCTGTATTTATTAATAATTTATTTCTATGTGATGACAAGAGTAACATAATGATCACAAAACAGTGTCAACGACGTCTAGTTACCATATTTCGACCATTACAATATTTGCCAACTATTGGCCTAAGGGAGCACTATTCTTCACCTTCAAATGTGGCACACTTCCTTGTAGCATAATAAAGAGAATTGGCAAATATACATCGCGGTAGTGCCATCACAGCGCACGACGCTGACGCCGACGTTAAAAGCTCATAGTTTATGTAAACATGCACGCGTCGGATTCATCTCACGTATTAAATAATAGTTCGCAATACTATCATGTCCCAGTTTGTTTGTACACTTTTCTTATTTATTACTACAGGGATCTAGTATCTATGACAAAAACTCACTTGCATCATCTTACTTTATCTTAACGTTATCGGATAAGTAGACAGTAGGTGGATACAAACCTAGTAGAAAAATATTTAAAATCACACGACTTCTGTTAAATTTATATGAAATTAAGACTATACATATAGGGGAAAACGTAATTTACCGATTTTCGTCGAATATCGATTATGTACCCAGCAATAATTAGTGTCTTATACATAGTCAAATACACATATTTACAATATTAAAAAAATGTTGCGTAAATTACTACAGAACTCCTAAGGCATGAACTTAGGTAATATTTACTTCTAAACATTTGTAACTTATGCTCCCTTCTTTTCTCTAAGGTTCGCTTAACCTTTTTTTGGGTGAAAACTATATTAATGACATTAAGTATTTTATTGAAACATGGTTAGACAGGTTAACTAATATAAAAATTAGGTAGTGTATTACAAATACCGCGTGCCAGATACATTTGATAATTCGTTAGCAAATCCTTCAACAGAAAAAACCTCAAGGATTCTTATTAATGCCGTCCATTTCACAATTCCACTTAAAATTCTAGATAGCCGCCAAATGTGCGCACGAGTGTGCAACGATGTTATCGTAACGTTACACTTGAGGCTTGGAAAAGTGCGCACTTTGAGGACGCGGCAATGAAATGACCGACCTTGTACACTGCTCGCCACTGTAATATAAATCGTTGTTAATGAATCGTATGTTTTAGTCTATTTGTTATGTAGCGTAAATTCATATTATTAGGTTCGTTAACCTAGCACCTAGCGGCATTCGTTACGTGAACAGAATTTATTGTTCGTATGCTAAGATGTTAATTGGTTATATAATGAATGGAAAACATGATTCATGTGTTTAAAACATGTGATATATTATAGTCTTGGTGAATACGTTATGTGACGTATGGGAACGAGGTAGTATGTCAATGGCTTTTAACCTACTAATCCTCAAACGGACGTCATCGCCTCGCCGCGTTTAAATAACTCAAAACTTGGGAGGCAGTGAACCTCCTTGCCGGATCACCGCCATGGAATCTGGAGACAAAGAAGCGCGTGTCTTTAGAATAAGTACACGATTTCGAACCACCAAAAAAAAACCCGATTTCCTAAGATACCTACCGGGATACCGGAGTCTTCTCTCATCTATCATATTAAAGATGAAAATTGATTTTATTAACTGAATTGATTTTACTGTAATTTATTTGAATTAAAGAAAAGAAAATCGTGGATGAATACTCAACACGCTTTTTTTTTAAAAAAAATGATTTTTTTTAACTATTTCTATGTATGGTATAACATTGTCGCATTAGGTGGCATACCTACCTGTAAAGCTGGTGTTGTAGATGAATAAATACAATTAAAAATATTTAAAATTATTTGTTTGACATCAATTCATTCTGATTCTTCTTCTTTATTCTTATTGAAAATTGATTATTCTTATTGATTCTGCATTATTCTTATTGAAAAGAAACCTCCTTTTTTCCTTGCATTTTGCCGAATTAATTTGTAAATTATTACTTACAGGTTCAAGTGCGCTACCCATCTCGCAAGTCACATGTGCGTCGCCAGCGAGCCATACCTCCATCCGTGCCGTTCCCGTGCGAGGACGCCGTCTCCTGGGGCCGTAGTCCCCAGCGGCCTACCTCCGTACATCGGTTAAGGCCAGGAGACATTGATGTGGTGGCCGCCATCGGGGACTCCTTGGTCGCTGGTAGTGGAGCGCTTGAAGAGTTTGCGCTAGGAGCGTTTGTAGAATATAGGGGTGTTTCGTGGTGCGCTGGTAAGAGATATTGTCTTGTTTAATTTTAATTAATTATTTCTTTACTTAACAAATACTGTCAATCTCCAAAAATTTTGTAGGGCGGTGATGATACATTTCAAAATTTCATTACATATGACTTTAATATCTCTCTCCCTTTAGCAATTTACTTACAGCACCCAATCTCGTATTAGGTACCACAAGAAATTATAAAAGTATGTTATCAAAAAGTTTTGAAGATTTACCTCATTATAAATTTGCATATTTTTTTAAACCCACACTCAACCACGCACTATCGAGCCTGATTGTAAACCTCTACGTAACATAGCCCATAAGATTTACTATAACATTCAATCAGTTTACGGCCTGTGGTTATCGTTAGCCACTACTGACCACAACCGTTTCCTGAATGCGCCAATGAAAGTGCACACCATGCATGCTAATAGCAATCATAACTGTTAACAATATTCAATTAGTTCACACATTTATGAAACAACAATAATTAACAAAAATAAAGTAAACAAGTTATTTTTCTCTTGAAATACTTCCACAGTAAACTGAGAATGAGATCGGGAACTGATTGCTATGCTATCACAACTAGTCAAAACTACATAGTACCAGCAATAATTTAAAATGTTCCGCAAATCAAATACGCCTTGAGCTAGTTACACGTTAGGCTGTAAAGATAAGTCTATCTTAGGGAACAATCATGTATTAAGGCATCATTTATGGCAAATAACGACTTACTCACGAGAACTGAGAAGAGCTCTACTAGTTTCAAGTCACATCAAGACTCTTATTCTTGAGCAGCATCAGTGTCCGTGCATCCGACGAAGGCTTGATCATTAATTTACGACATTAAGCCTTTAAGATTCACAGCGTGTGACGTGATTTGTCTAACGCATGTTAACATGGAATTCATTACGTTGTGTTACAACGTATTACATAAATGTACTTTGACTTTACATATGTTAATCGCTTGCACAGTTCACATTTCCTTCACACTATGTATGTCTGTAGTATGGCATGTAAGGGCAAAGCAAAATGCTTAAGATTTATACTTAGCAGAAATGTAATTGTATCAATAAACTATTGTAGGGTAGCAGATCAGCAAGAAGTTTATTGGAATAACTGTTATTCTGTGTTCAAATACATAAGTTCCTACATAAGAAAAATTCATAATATTTTATCTACTTTACTAGGGTTACATAGATACTGTTGACTTTAGCTAACGCTTTAAAATAATTAAGAAAAATAAATTTAAGTAAAATTTAAATTTCCAGGTGGCGATGCAACATGGCGGGAGTATTTAACATTACCAAATATCCTGAAGGAGTTCAACCCGAACATCAAGGGGTTCTCCACAGGTACTGGGGAATGGCTCACCAAGAACGCCAAGTTCAACGTCGCCTTCCCTGTGGCTTCCGATGAAGATGCCTTGAAGCAGGCTAAGGTAATACTTATTACTACGCAATAATTATAAATTAAAGTTAATTGTACTAACGAGCTACTATTTTATTCATTTGCATTAAAGAGTTGTAATGTACAGAATATACAAATTCTGTACATTACAACTCTTTAACAACAAATGAATCTCTTTATAAAATTAATCAAGTAGTGATTCATTTTAAAAGTACAACACCTACTTATCAAGGAATTTGTAGATTCTACGTTAATGCAAAAAATATCTTTTTTAATTTTAAACTTAGCGCATCAAATTTAAAATAATTAATCTATAATCACTACTACAAATCAAGCTATTAAACTAACGAAACAGAACTCTTGAAGTTGGTACATTTATTTATTAAACACTTCGTGTTCCACTATATACCTACCAAAGCTATGCTATAGTGCTGTCTCTAGCAATCGACCACAAATCTTGCATTTAATTACGCGTTACTACAGTCTTTTACCAACCTAGTGAAACAAGTTTAATTGTGCATAACCTTTATTAAACTTGGTCTAATTTTAAAGGAAATAAATAGTAATCACTACACATACTCGCACACACGGTATTTATGTAGGTACCATTTGCCAATTATTACTACCTACTTGGTATAATTTTTAAAACTTATGGAGCGTGACCCTATCAGGTCATTACTAAATTATTGTGTTTTCTGGTCCCTATAATACGAGCTACGAGAGGATAACAACAGTTATTGTTTCCATATTTTAGATTTTCTGGAATCAAGTATTGATATTAAATATTAATTTGATACTTTGCAGTGACGTAGCCAGCTCCCTCTAATAAACTTTCGGTTCATTTAAGTATAGTTTTGATATATGACAAAAAATATTTAAATGAGGGGTAAAAACATATTAGGCTTAAAAAATTAAACATTGTCATATACTGCCCTTATATCCTTAAGTATGACCAAAATTCTATACAAAGTACAAGTGATTGACGATATGATTTATTAAAAAAAAAGAAGGAAGCCGTTACTTATCACGTACCAGTTTGTTGCTACCATTGTTTCGTTTTGTTTCCTATTGAGAAATACAAGCGATCGCACTTTACCATCGAGAACTTCGCAACAGACGACACGACACGAACCTTAGCTGACTCCAAATTACTCATCACTTCATTTAAGCCCTTCATGCAACTAATGAAATGTCAGAATGAGCGGCGACCGCTATTAGTGACGCTGATGACATGGGCCTTTGTGTGGAATCAGGCCAACACCTTCACTGCACTATTTGCTAAGCCATTAAACATTAACAAATATGTGACAATTTTTGAGTCTCCTCGCTACATTACTACTCTTGAATATTGTCTTTGTAATTTGGAACTAAATAATGTCTATTTGGCAATGTGCGAAGGGCGTTAGATTGTTTATTTTTCACAACTTTGAATGAAGATCAAATAAATGAGCATTTGATCGCTTGATGTTAATATGTATGTGAATATATGACACAAGTGTTTTATACCTGCAATGTAGTATGTTGTAATTTTGTTTGCTTCTTTGGATTAGTGAAAAACTATTCATTTTTTTTTATTATGAGGATGTGTACAATGCGTCACACCTACTCACTGTTTCTCGTAGGAACGATACCTATCATAAAGTGAAGTTCTTTTACCCCACAGTGTGAGTCACAGAAGCCTTGTTTTGTTTATTTTATATGATACTAGTTAATCTCGAACGTTTTGTATCTCGCGTACCTATCGTAGCGTGATGTTTTATAACTACAGCACTTTGAAACATGTAGCGATATATCAGTGACAGAATTTTGAAAACCCGACCAGCGGTTCCAAATGTTACCACTACATACAAACTTACAAATTTTCCTTTTTATAATATTAGTATAGAAGTATAGACTTACAAAGTAGTCTTTCAATTACTTTTAGCTTTTAATTATTAAAAACAATCTTTCCTAAATCCTGAATAGTTAAAATCGTCCGTGGTATACGGGAGCGCAGATATACCTACCTACGCGAGACACAATGTATTTTCTATTGTGTCTTACCCGGCGGACAAGTGGTTAAGAAAGGCCAACAAAAACATTAAAACTGTAAAATTTCTCTTTCAGATCCTGGTAGCACGAATGCGTTCATCATCAGAAATAGACATGGAGAACGATTGGAAGATGGTGACAGTGTTCATAGGAGCCAACGACTTGTGCTCGGCGTCCTGTCTCAACCCCGTGTCGTGGTCGCCCGCAGCCCACGCGAAGAAGTTGTCTATAGCGTTGGACTATCTACATAAACACCTGCCCAGGACTATTGTTAACTTGGTACCAGTTCTAGGTAAGTTACTTGCGGACTTATAAATACGTAAACTTATCAATTTTTAGTCTTCATCTTCACTCAATTATTATGTTTTCGGCTTATTCACGTAATAATTTGACGCGATAATCGACTAGTTTCAAGCCATGCTAGAGGTCCATATTCATGAGCAGCATTCCGCGACACTTCATCTTCACTGTTATTTCACTGTGCATTCTTCTGATTTATGCCTATATCAAAAGATTGGAGACCAATACCCGAAACAAACATAGTGTAGTATCTAACAACTCAACTGTCCTTTTCCACAGATTCCTGTCTGTTATGTTTAATCCGTAATTGGATGTAATTTTGAAACTTTGACGATTTATTATGCTATCCCTGTTATTCTTTGCGTCAATTTCAGACGTATCAGTATCGATCCGCGTGCTCCGTCCAATGATGTGTCGACTGATGCACTCCTTATTCTGCACGTGCTTCCACCAGGGGGGCAACGAGCTGTATGACCTCGTGCGAATGGCCAGGTTCTACCAGAAGGCGGAGGTGGCGCTGGTATGACTAAATACATATTTATACATTTACGATGTAGTTTACTATATTTAAACATTCTCGTTTAGATGAAAAATCATTCAATTTTTTCAGGATGCTTTCTTTAATTTAGGTGCTATTTTCACCCTCGTTGCAAGAAGAAGGATTTTATTTTTGTTTATTTGTTTATTATTTTAACACTATATGTACTTTACTTTCTTGTATGGCAGTCTTAATGCTCAAAGGCGTTCTCCACCAGTCAACCTCAAGGGTGACGCAGAGAACAAGCACATAAATTATTAATAAGCATTTTTATATGTTGATGTTCCTGTATGTATGTAATATCGGAATAGATAAACCAATTTTTGATAAAAACATTGATTTGGCGTGACCAACTGACCGTACGCTCTAGAACTTAATAAGTACTTGCTTCTAAACTTGTAGCCATAAGTATCTACTGATCTCTCCTCACCAATGTTCATCAAACTAGTAACATTTCCCACTTAAGAACAATCTAACACAGTAACTGTTCTTATTGTTGCCATGAGATCGCCAAACGCTATTCTTAATAAAAGTCCATAAATGATTTCAGGAATCTTACTAATATTAGAAATGCGAAAGTTACGATGTTTGGATGTTTGTTGCTCAATCACGCCAAAACGGCGCTGGATGGATCCGGATGAAATTTGGCACAGGCATTGGATACACTCCGGAATAGGACATAGGCTACTTTTTATCAACATACCACGTGGGTGAAGCCGCAGGCGGAAGCTAGTAAATAATAAAGTAGTTTGACCAAGCATTGCAGCTCAGCAGTCATATGTCTCTGGGACGCACCGGACTTCAGTGTCCCTTGTTTTCATGGTTGTATCTACTGTAGATCCTGGTTTACAGGAGTTGCAGCGGTATTGGGAGGTTGCAGAAGGCTTGTCTCAAAAAAAAACATTGCAGTTGACTTGGTATTTCCAGGTGGACAGTGGTCGGTACTCGTCGGACGATCAGTTCGCGGTGGTGGTGCAGCCGTTCATGCGGCTGTTCAACGCGCCGCTGCCGCCGCCCGCCGCGCTGCCGCTCGTCATCCACCAGTCATACATCACGCACGACTGCTTCCACTTCTCACAGAAAGGACATGCACTCGGTAAGTTTTCTCATTTTATCTATAGGTACTAATATTATAAACAGTTAACATTTCTAAGTTTGTTAGTAAGGGGGTAATCTGTGAAACCGCTGGTTGGATTGCCAAAATTCTTTCACTGATAAATAGCTACAATGTTCCTAAGTGCTATATATATATTAAACATCACGCTACGATTAATTGGAGCCGAGCAGCGGGGGAAATCTGACGAGATTACGCTGGAACCATTAAGGAAAGATGAGCCTATCAGGCCACTTTAGCCTGTAGCCTAAGAGGATACAATTCCACCTGGAATTGTCTTCTGGAATTGTTCAGAAACCCTTAATAGCAGTTTAGAGTTTTCCAATCTTAAGATTAGGTTAGGACAAGTAGATCACGTTAGTGTAGGTGTTAATTGCTCAAAATATGAAAAGTTATTTCTTTTGAATTTTTGAATATAATAAAGTCTGATTAAAAAAATAAGTCTGATGATATACGTGCAGTCAGAACTAACAACTAAATTCTTTGATTTTTAAATTCACATAAACTTAAAACTGCTTCAACTTATTTACTGAAAACAAGTTCTGTACTTCATCATGAACACCATTATATTTCAGCGGCGAATCTCCTTTGGAACAACCTGCTAGAGCCAGTCGGCAACAAATCAGACAACGTGCCTCCCGTCCTCCTCCGTTCCTTCCGTTGTCCCTCCCGTCAAGCGCCGTACTTCTTTACCAGCAAGAATTCACGATCCTACCTACTCACTGGCAAACAGGAGGGAGCTGATGATGTCTTCCTATGACACTTTGAAGGCTAGTTACGTGCTTGTGACTCCTCTGGTGTTGTGGGTGCCCAAAAATTGGAAACTTCAAATCTATAATAAGCAGACTGATAGTTTTTTCATAAAGAAGGACTGAATAGTTTGTGGTGTTGGTCAAAACAATCGAAGTTTAACAAGACGGACGGGTGGTTTCTCCACGGAGAAGGACCAAATATGTAATTTGTCGTGTATTAGTCAAAAGCAAGTTTATTTTTCTCTTAGAAGGGTTGGTGCCAGCAACCTAGTCATGAAACTAATGTGTTTCCCTGATGATAAAGAAGACTTTTGATCCATAAGGTGACCGAGCGAAGACTCCAGGGGACTTGTATTGCTTTATTGGGTTGTGCGTAGTGTGTGTAAAAAAGTTTACGGCTATGAACGTAAGACATTTTTTTCCACGTGAAAGAAATCATGGGTAAAAGTTTAAACTTTTTTTATACTAGGTAGCATTTTGAACGAGGCACATATCCAAGGAGCCAATTTTGTTGCTCAATTACAACAACTTATTCCATAAAACCAAAATCGAAATATCTAGAGGTAAAATTTGTAAGTTTGTATGTAGGGGGTAATCTTTGAAACCGCTTTTCACTGATAAATAGCTACAATATTCCTGAGTGATATAGGCTATAAAACGTCACGCTACGATCAAATGGAGCCGAGCAGCAGAAACCGCTCGAGAGTGACTAGTCAGAAATAAATTAATTTCTCCATAAAAATCGCAACAGGTAATTGATAATTTTTAATAAATAAATAAAATAAATTACTTGTAAAAGTAAAAATTTTCAAATGGTCTTATGGATAAAGTTGTTTTATTTGAGTACCAGCCCTTGGGTTATATGGCCCTCGTTCAAAATGCCACTGTATAATGAATTCACCTATTCTTAGACAAGGAAGAAATAGGCGATTAACTATGACCTCGTGTTGAGGTCTTCTATAACTCGAAAAATAAATATACTTGTCAAATGTTATTCTCGTTAACAGTTAATAATTTTGTACATAGTAATTTAAATAGGGAGTAAGTTAGTATTATAAATAATTAGATTGGTGGGCCTAGGTGTAGTTAATTGGAAACCTCATTGTTAAGTTCTAAGGTAAGTCCTAGTACATTAATAGGCAACCTATAAAATACTTTAATTAAGAGAAAGTTGAAGAATAATATGAAGAATCTGATCGGGACTATGGGTGTTTTATTTTCTTTAATTCTGATTAATGACTTGTAGATTATTTCAAAAATTCATAAAATTGATTCTTACTTGGACTAGCTTAATTAACAATAAACATGTTTCTTGCATCAAACTTACAGTAAATCATATTAAATTAGCGACACATGGCTTACGTATGTAATTGTTACGGGCCCTGGCATGGCTTGAAACTCGTCGAGAATTTACCCAAGTAACTCGTAAAATATAATAGGTTATGATAATCACACTATTTAAACATTTCTTCTACCTTTAAGATAAACATTGTTGTATATCCACGTGTCTCCTACCCTTAAGTTAAACTTTAATATGTACAGTTACAAAGTCTAAAACCATAAATTGCTCCAAATATTTTTAATTTAATATTAAAACTAAAGAGTTTTTATTAATTAAGACTTTTAGTGTATACAATAGCTCAATGTTGTGATGTAGTGAAGTAAGTGAAGTATAGCGGCAGTAGTATCATTTGATAGTGCCATCGACGTACGCTCTGAACCAAATGTTATTGTAAGACAAGTTACCTAAACTATCCATTAAGTCATCCGTCCATGGCTACAATAATTTTAAGAAGAAATAAATATATTTTTCTAACTTCTTTGTTTTATTTTCTTAAGTAGACAAATAGGTCGAGGGGTGTTAATTATTTATATAGCGCCTATTTATAATGTGATAGCAATATGCTTTGTAACTAAACAGTAAAATTTTTCATAAGGCGTTGTCTTAAAGCTGTTTTTTGCTTACAAATTATTCAAATGACCTCTCCCACTGTTTTCGAAGTGCTAAGTTTGGTTGAGATATCAGAATTATAAGAAATTGAACTTCAAAAAACGTCTTCGACGTCGTGGTGGCCCGAAGGTTAAGGCGCCCGCTTCTCATGCATGAGGTGTGTGTTCGAAACCTGGCAAGTACCAATGTGACTTTTTCCGAGTTATATGTACTTTCTATGATTATTTAGACACCACTGACATACGGTGAAGGTCAACATCGTGAGGAAACCTGGACTTATAATTTCTAACTATAAGTTTGAAATCGCCAGGATGTTTGCCAGATAAGATGTGTAAGAGATGAAAGTGGAATGGTTCTATCGGATAACGACAAAATCAAAGAGAGGTGGAAGGAATATTTTGAAAGACTTATGAATGAGGAAAATAATTGGAGTGGGGTTTTAGAGAATAAACCAGTGAATGTGGGGTTAGTGAGAATAGTTAGTATGGAGGAAGTCAGAGTAGCAGTGAACGGAATGAAAAATGGTAAAGCCATTGGCCCAGATGGAATACCAGTTGAGGTGTGGAAGTTATTAAGAGTAGATGCATGGGTGTGGTTGGCTTTGTTCTTCAATAAATTGTTGCAGGAAGAAACCATACCTGATGAATGGTGCAACAGTTCTTTGGTGCCCATCTTTAAAAACAAAGGTGATGTCCTTGAGTGCAACAATTATAGAGGAATAAAGCTAATGTCGCATACCATGAAAGTATGGGAGAAAGTTATTGAACGGCGGCTGAGAGAAGAGAGTGACATTTCACAGAACCAATTCGGTTTTATGCCTGGTCGTAGTACAACGGATGCCATATTTGCTATACGCCAGTTGTGCGAAAAATACAGAGGTGCACATAAAAACTTGCACATGGTATTCGTTGACCTCGAAAAAAGTGGCGCCAGTGACTGAAAAGTTGAAAGGGAACCGTTTGTCTTGGTATGGCCATGTGAAAAGGAGGGATGAAAAGCATGTAACAAAAAGAGTCATGAGTATAAATGTGGAAGGATGGAGAGGGAGGGGGAGACTAAAGAAAATATGGATGAATTGTGTGAGAAGTGATATGGAAGACAGAGGAGTTAGCGATAGCGTGACGAGTGACAGGACAGAATGGAAGAAAAAAACATATTGCGCCGACCCCAAATAAAACGGGACAAGGGCAGGAAGATGATGATGAAGTTTGAAATCGCCAGCCCACATTGAGCAAGCGTGGTGATTAATGCTCTAACCTTCTCCGTATGAGAAGAGGCAGCCTTTGTTCAGCAGTGGGCAATTATAGGCTGATGATGATGATGAACTTCAAAGTGTGCAGTCTTTTGTGAATAAACTATGATATAGTGCACATGGTCAGGCGAAGTTAAAAGTTCAACCTATTATTACCCAGGTAAAGCATTCATGCACAAATTAAGTTGAAAATATTATTTACTGATTATGTTCCATGCAACTTGTGTAAGTTTCGTTTGTATTCTGATTCCCTTGATTCAATTCTTTATTTTTAAAAGCCGTAGATAAAGGATTGAAGTGGATTTTGCGTTTCAAAAACATTAACGCTTTAATAAAAATGTCAGCAACGTACTCGCTACATTTCTGCTATTGATATTTTTTCTTATCGTATCTAAGTAATGTAGCGGCACTATCACGTCGCTACATTACTTAGATACGATAGAGATAAGACATACATGTTAATTGTTGCACGTTTGTTAGGATAGCTAAATCTGAAAATCTCACGCATCTTCTTAGTATATAAGCACCAGCAATTAAAGTAATAAACAGACCTTAACCATCTACAGTCTCATTATTTACCTTGCCACGAAGTCTGGCAAATTGGTGACCCCGACGTGATTTGAACACGCAACCTTCTGATCTGGATTTTATTAGAGCATTATAAGCTATTAGTCGATATAGCTGGTCGAAAACTCATAGATAGGGTAACTGAGCTGACAACGCCCGCAACCCTGATCAAATCGACGCAGCAAACAATCCGCACTATTAACATTGAGACGAATCCACGCATTACTCAACTATTAAATGAATACGAGGATATTACGAAACCAGCCTCCCTCCACACTACTCCAAAACACAAGATTAAGCATCATATTATCACTAAAGGACCAAGGAAAATATAAGGAACGCAGTATTAACAGTTCACCCCTCTCGCACCGCCCCTTTGGCACTTATGACGGACGCCAGTTCGACCTGTGTTGGCGCAGTTCTGCAGCAGAAGTCAGGACGTAATTGGGAACCATTAGGATTCTTTTTAAAGAAATTAAGTGATACTCAACAAAAATACTCGACATTCGACAGAGAGTTGCTCGGAATATATATGGCAGTCAAACATTTTCAAAGGTTAGTCGAAGGAAGAGAATTTACTATCTTTACAGATCATCGACCTTTGACTTACGCATTTTCCCAAAAACCGTCATCTAATGATACGCCACGGCGAATACGACAACTGGATTTTATTTCACAATATTGTACCAACATTCAACATATAGAAGGACGTGACAATATTGTAGCAGACGCATTGTCACGGATAGAACAAATTGATGTGCCATCACCGATTAATTATGCTGATTTAGCAAGATGTCAGCATGATGACCAAGAATTATTACGACTTCGTAATAACAAGAATTTAAAATTTTCAATCAGCAGAAACAATCAGCACAAATGCAGTGGATAGTTCATCGACTGCCGCCGCCGTCACAACAAAGGCAGCAGTTTTTATTTCCTTCGAATTAGCAACAATGACATTACATTACGCATAGGATGTAATTTATCAGCAAGGTTAAGTTATTATATAATTAGGTACATACTAATTTTTTTCAATTTATATGTTAATTATTTTTAAAAGGGGGGAGTATATGTAGCGGCACTATCACGTCGCTACATTACTTAGATACGATAGAGATAAGACATACATGTTAATTGTTGCACGTTTGTTAGGATAGCTAAATCTGAAAATCTCACGCATCTTCTTAGTATATAAGCACCAGCAATTAAAGTAATAAACAGACCTTAACCATCTACAGTCTCATTATT